GGGTCTCCGCGAGCCGCCGGGACCCTCGCACACGCTCCGAAGGAGAGCGCAGAGCTCCACTGCGCAGGCGCAGTGTCCCCGCCCCTGGAGTTCGAGAAAAGTGAACAGCACTGTGACGTAGGGGATCCCTTCGCTTCCAGCCAATGAGAACGGAGTTCTTGAGTGTGAAGGCGGGGCTTCCAGGGAGAGTGGGGCTCGGCGTCCCTCCACCGGGGAGGGGCCCTAAGGACCCTCCTAGGCCCTGGAGGAACCCGTTCTATCACAAAACGGTACCGCCCACTCCCCAGCCCTCAGCCAGCCCTCAGCCAGCCCAGCAGCACCAGAAATGCAGAGGCCTGGGCCCTCCCAGACCGACTGAATCTGCAACTCTGGGGACAGGGCAGGGCCTAGGATGGGCTTTGCATGTGAGTTGGGTTTGGGGGGGGGGGGTGACCGCAAAGGACATCTCCCAGCACGGAACTCTGATAATGAAATGGGAAGACTGAATTTATTTGAAGGTGAAGTTTAAAAGACAAATGACACACTTGAGAAAATATTTACAACATGTATGAAAGCGTTCGCAGTGTGGATATAGAAAGAGCGTGTTTTCTGTGCCTGCTGGGACCCATTACCACACACTTGGCTTAAAGCAGCTCCCGTTTTAGTCTCTGTCCCGCCTGGAGGTCAGAGGTCCAGCAGAGCCAGGTGCTCATCCCAGGGCCGCGCAAGGCCTAAGTCAAGGTGTCAGCGCCTGGAGCAGGCTCAAGCAGGTCCTGGCAGAATTTACTGCCATTGGGGTTAGGACTGAGGTCCCCACTGCTGAAGGCTGGCCAGGGGACATGCTCAGCTCCTACAGGCCACTGCATCTCTTCACTCATGGCCCCTCCATCATCAAAACCATCAAGAGCGCATTGCATCCTTTTCACGCTCCGAATGAGAGGCTTCAGAATTCCCTCCGAGATCTTTCTGGCTTTGCCTGTGGCCACATCTCTTTGCTTCCAAGGGCTCATACAATTACACTGGGCAGCCCGGATAACCCAGGATCATCTTCTTCTAGTATTTAAGATCAGCTGATTAGTGACTTTAATTACATCTGTAAAATCCCTTTGCCGCTAACCTATCGTAACTACAGGCCTGATGCCAGTGGGTGAAGGTCATGGGGGCCAAAATTCCGCCTCCCACCGAGCTTAGAAAAGTCAGTTAAAAAAAAAAAAAAGATTAAATTCTCCATAGATAGGAACGGAGCAAAGAACATGAACCAGAAGTTCACAAAAGCCCACCAGAGTGGCTCGGTTGATTGAGCATCATCCTGTGCAATAGCGGGTTGCTGGCTCAACTCCTGGTCGGGGCACATGCCTGGGTTGCAGTTGCAGTCCCTGCCGTGCCCGTGCAAAAAGGCAGCCGATGTTTCTCTCACTTTCTGAACATGTCCTCTGGTGAGGATTGAAAAAGTGGAAAAAAAAAATTTTAATAAAAAAAAAATTTTTGAGTTCACAAAAGAAAATATATCAACAATGAATGGGTGAAATAAGCTCTGCCTCATTAGAAGAGATGCTGATTAAAATAACAACGAGCCCTAGCCGGTTTGGCTCAGTGGCTAGAACATCAGCCAGCAGACTGAAGGGTCCCAGGTTCAATTCCAGTCAGGGGCACATACCACAGTTGCAGGCTCCTCCCTAGCCTGGGCCCTGGTTCAGGGAGAGTGCAGGAGGCAACCAAAGATGTGTTTCTCTCATATTGATATTTCTCTCTGTCTTTCCTTCTCCCACTCTCCCTAAAAATCAATGGAAAAATATCCTCAGGTGTGGATTAAAAATAATCTATATATATATAAAAGCCTAATATGCAAAGTGTCCCCTCTGGAGCACGACTGGGAGACTGGGAGTTTGATCGCTCGCTATGACATGTGCTGACCACCAGGGGGTGGCACAGAGAGAAGGAAGGCCCCAGCCGGCAGCCAGAAAGCCCCAATCAGCCCTGATCGCTGGCCAGGCCTAGGGACCCTACCTGTGCACAAGTTTCATGCACTGAGCCTCTAGTAATAATAATAACAATGAGATCGGTGAGCACATCAATTGGCTAAGGTTTGAAAGATGATAATGCTCAGAGGGCCAGGGTGTGGCTAGCCACAGGATGTGTTCATGGTTTGATTTTATTTTTAACATTTTTAAAACTTGACAAAAGTAAGATATTTTTATTCTGAAAAAGGAATTAATAGATGCATGCAGCTCTTAGCAACAATGGCCCATCCCCTAAGGACTTGCCTTATTGCAATTAAAGAATTCCCTCGATGTTTGCCGAATGGGCTACAGCACAGTGCACGCATTTGCCCTGACTGCGTGGTGTTGCTGTTGAGGCTGGTGTAAATACAGGGGGCTAACAGGATCTCTCACCAAAGGGGAGGTGGAAATTAACTAGCGGGGAGGGGCCCGGCTTAGCCCATAGGAGGGCCAGCATATTGTCCCTGGTGCAGCCAGACTGTCCCTGGGGTGCAGACAGATGCCCTCTAGGCTGTGTCCATCACTAGCTTTCAGTCAGTCTGCCTGGTACTTAGGGGTGCCTGCAAGGAGAGAAAGGGCTCGTGGGGCCCTCTGGGCAGCTGGGTCCTCACAGCAGGCCCCTGTGTGGGTCTCCTGGGCACTGGGGCGCTGTCCGGCTCAGCCTCAGGATCACTCCCTGTCACAGCCGGCAGTGTCGAGGGATCGATGCTGGTCTGGAGGTGAAACCAGAGAGACGTCTAACTGGCCCCTATGTGACTGTAACAAATACCCCCAAGCTCCATGGTTTAAAACAGCACTGCTATCACCCATTTTGCTGAGACGGGAATCTGAGTGTGGCTCAGCCGGATGAGAAAAGCCAGAGGGAGCGGACTAACAAGATGGGACTCACCATCCTTCATAACCTAACCTCGGAAGAGACATCCCGTCACTCGTGCCATGTTCTGTTTGTGTGAGGCGGGTCAGCAGGCCCCACCCCCTTCAAGGAGAGGGAACCACATTCCACAAGACCACCAGGAGGTGGGGACCCTCAGGGGTCATCTTAGAAGGCTACCTACCACCACAGGTGACAAGAAAGGCTTCGTTTTCGTGTTAATGCCTGTGCCCTTAAGAGCATCTGCCACACCACGATTCTCATCCGGGTCTCCCATCTGCCCTGTGAGCTAAGACAGATGAGGAAACTGAGTCTGGAGGGGCTCCGTGTTGCCTCACCCAATGGGCTGGAAGCACCATGTCTAAGAACAGCCCTGCCCCCCATCAGTGGAGGCCAGGAGCACAGGACCTGCTCAGGAGAGGAGGAAGCCCAGCGGGCAGTGCGCAGCACAGCAGGCCTGGGAAGGGCCAAGCTGGGTCCTGGCACGGGCTGGCCCTGCAGTCACAGAGCAGCAGCTTCCTCCTGCAGCTGCGGCCAGCCCGGAGGGAGGACCCAGCAACGTCACAGCCAGTGGTTTGCAAAGCAGCTGAGAAAGGGGGTCCTTGGCAGGAAGTCCAGTGCCTGCCCTGCCCCCAGGCAAGAAAACAAGCCTGAGATTCATTAGGGCACAGGGTCCTCCTCTCCCCTCCTCGCGCCCCCCTCCCCCGCCCCCGCCCCTCACAAGGCGTCCCTTGGAGCCTGCAGTGGAGAAAGGCGTCCTCTTGGTGGGGACAGACACTGTCCGGCTCAGCCTCAGGACCACTCCCTGTCACAGCAGGGCCACTGGGGAGGCTCCCTCAGCACAGAGCCCTTCCTCCCAAGATACCCAGCCAGAGGTTGCACCACACTTGGTTGGAATGCCAGCAATGCTCCCTCAGCTCCCAAGCATGTGCTCCGCACTTTGGGCAAAGTGCCAGCCACCGCCCTGTTTGGTTCCCACTTTGTTTTTTAGGGGGAAACTTCCTGGTGAGG